ATTTTAATTATTTATTTTTAAAAGAGAGTAAGGGAGAGGGAGAGAAAGATAGAAACATCAATGATGAGACAGAAATATTGATTGGCTGCTTCCTGCATGCCCCCTACTGGGGATCAAGCTCAAAACCCAGGCATGTGCCCTTGACTGGAATCGAACCTGGGACCCTTCAGATGCTCTATTCACTGAACCAAACCATCCAGAGCTATTTTTTCTTTTTAAAAGTCTACATTTTTTTAAGTCTACAGAACAGTGCACAAATCATAAATATGCACCATGGTGAGTTTTCACTAAGTGAACACACCTATGTAACCAGCATCAAGAAATAAAACATTACCAAAACTTGGGAAGTTCCCCTTATACCTTCTCCCCCAGGTAACTGCTATCTTTATCTCCAAAGAATCAAGAAAAGTACAAAATCTTTTATTGTTAGAGAAATATACAAACAGCCCAGCCAATGTGGCTCAATGGATTGAGCATAGTCTCATGCACCAGGAGGTCACTTGTTTGATTCCCAGTCAGGGCACATGCCAGGGTTGCAGGCTCAATCCCCCGTAGGGGGCGTGCAGGAGGCAGCTGATCTCTTTCTCATTGATGTTTCTACCTTTCTCTCCCTCTCCTTTCCTCTCTAAAAATCAATAATAAAACAAAAAAAAATTTAAAAATACACAAACAACCCTGGCCAGTGTGTCTCAGTTGGTTGGGCATTATCCCATGGATCAGAAGGTTGCTGGTTCAATTTGAGGTTGGGGCCCATGCCCAGGTTGCAGGCTCAATCCCCGGTGGGGAGTGTACGGGAGATGGCTGATCCATGTTTCACTCTCACATTGATGTTTCATTCCCTCTCCCTCTCTCTCTCTAAATATCAATTTAAAAAAATACACAAATCAAAAAACAAACAAAGCCAGAATCTAAAGTAGCTTGGCAAAATAATATCTGAAGTGAGGATATGCCTGCCTTTATTGAGAGTCCAGATACGGTGTGAATCAAGGTACACAGAATGAGGTGAAGAAACTAGCTTGCACTGAGCCCCAATATAAGTGTTAGATACTGAGCAACCCAGGAGGAAAGGTGTTAGCCCTGTTTTACAGATGAGGCTCAAGAAAATAAGCAGCTTTCCCAATGTCATATGGTAACAAGTAGTGGGGTTAGGATTTAAAACCAGGGAAATCTATTACAAACCTCTTGTTCATTCTTCTATATCAAAGACTCTCAAGTTACATGCTGCCAACTACTGGGTTCCCTGAAAATACCCCACAGACTCTAGAGGGAGACCAGGATAATCTCTACCCCTGATTCACTGAGCAGTGTTCCTGTATCTATTTTATCTATTGGCGTTCTGTATAAAATTTCAAATGGAGAAAGGATTTCACATTTTTTAAAGCAACCTATATGCCAGAGAATACAGACAGCAAGTTATAAAGTCTTCAATTTTCACCATTCTGTATTAACATTAAAAACAAATTTTATTTTTTCTAAATAGGTAATATATACATGATATAAAATTCAAAAGGTACAAAAAATAAGTAGTGAAAAGTAATCATCCTCCTGTGTGGCCCCTAGATACCTGATTCCCTCTGTAATTTCCAGTTACAGTTTCTTACTGTATCCTTATTAGAGAGGCTATGCACAAACAAGTATGTGTATGTATTCCTTTTAAAAATACCCACAGGGTAATAAGATATTATTATACACAGTGTTCTGTTCTTTTTGCATATCATTTTACTATATACCAAAGATTTAACAGTACTTGGACACGGTTACTAAATAGTGTTTATTCATTTCACTATGGTTTTTCAATTGCCAAATTAATGATAATTTGTCATTACCTCTAAAAAATAAAGAAAATATCAGACTACTAAAATACCCTTTTACAGAAAAATCAGAAAAAGAAAATGCTAAATCCTACTATGGATGATGGATTAAAACTTTCTAAATTTTACAAATGGTAAAATAGAAACATGTCCAATGAATTTTTTAAACTGATTTCAGGTTAAAAGATTGGCGAAAATCAAACCCATTGAGCTGTTAACCATGTGGGGTTTTGCTTCCTGCTGTTAGAGACCTCAACCTTACACATATATTAAATGCTCATGAGCACCACAATTACAAGTTTAGCATACCAGGGCCAGAGGTCAGAGAGTTATCCAAACAGGGGTGGGACATCCCTAAGGCTCTGTGCTGCCAGGATCTCATGCTTACAAGGACTATCTACTACTGGGTTACTACCACCCACGAATTACCATTGCTCCTTGGACCCCGTCTCACCAGGCATCAGGACCACCCACTGGAACCATTATTATTCTCTTCTGTCTCAGCCTTTTCTTTTCCAGGTAAAATGATTTCTAAACTCTCCTGGCAGATTTTATTTTTTAACTTAATCATCTTTATGGGTGATGTGGAAATTCATTTCCCAGTGCTAGCCTGTACTTGTGGAGACCTTTTGGTTAGGAAACTGATTTAAGCCTTCTTTCTTCCTTCTATTAACCAACTATTTAAAAGAAAGTCAATTAATTTTTCTCAGTTTCTTCAACTGTAATAAGAATGTCTAGCTGAATGTAAGAAAACAAATTGTTTTAAAATAAAATTGTGATAAAAAATATCAAAACTGAAACAAACAACAGAAAAGAAACATTGTTCCATATATGATATTAAGGCCTCTTATAGTACTTTAATTATAGGAAGAAAACATTTTTAATGTTCTCCTTTTAGGAAAAAGGAGGTAAACTGCAAGAAAACAAGCTGACATAAGGAATTTGTTATGGATTTTTTTTTTTAAGGGAAGCAAAAGCACAAATTGGTAGTTACAAATAGTTACAGAATAATCACAGAGATATAAATAACAACATAGAGAATATACTACTATAGTCAGTAATATTATAACTAGAGGTCCAGTGCACAAGATTTGTGTACTGGGGGGTGAGGGTGGGGGTGGGGGTGCGCCCCTCAGCCCGGCCTGTGCCCTCTCGCAATCCAGGACCCCTCGGGGGATGTCCGCCTGTCAAGGGGATGGGGCCTAAGCCAGCAGTCAGACATCCCTCTTGCAGTCCGGGGCTCTTGCAGTCCAGGACCTCTCGCTCCTCTGCCGCCTGCCTGCAGCAGAGGCAGGAGAGGCTTCTGCCACCACAGCTGCGCTCGCCAGCTGTGAGCCCAGCTTCTGGCTGAGCAGCGCTCCCCCTGTGTGAGTGCACTGACCACCAGGGGGCAGCTCCTGAGTTGAGCATCTGCTCCCTGGTTGTTAGTGCGTGTCATAGAGACCGGTCATTCCGCTGTTCAGTCAATTTGCATATTAGGCTTTTATTATATAGGATTATGCATGGGGCAAGTTGGGTTTTTGAAATATTGGGGGATCACTTTGTACAGTATATGATTGTCTAACCACTGTGCTGTATGCCTGAAACTAATACAGCGTAATATTGAAGGTAAACTGTAATTCTAAAAAATATATATAAGTAAATAATAAAAAGGGAAGCAAAATATACATATGCAAAGTGCCAAAAGACATACATACCCCAAACTCCCTTAAGTAACTGGCAGTGCAAGCTCAGGAGTCTGATTCCTGCCCAATTTTCTCGATGACAGTTCTCTACAAGAACTGATGTTTTAAATTATTGCCATAAAGAACTACAAGATCTTAAATCATTGATGAAAATATAATAATTTTTTTCTGTGCTCTACATCATAATGCAAGGAAAGTGCCTGATACACTTTAGAGAACTAAAAGGATGTTCTTATTAGCCATATAATTCAATTAACTGGAACCATCACTGGGTAGAGCTTTTAGTGTGAAAGTATTTTAGATCTATTATTTATTGTAGGCATACACATACCAAGCACCATACTAAGTGCTTTACAAACATTTTCCTATTTAATTCTCACAATAATTTCTATGAGAAATCTCTTAAGAGAGATTGGCAAATGATGGAACAGGAGTCTCAAGTAGGTCTGACTACGAAGCCCATGCTTTCAAATCACTGACAGAAAACCAACTGGAAACTATCCGCACAATAAATTATTTGGCACTTCCATCAACAAACTGTATTTTTCTTTAAACAAATATAAACACACACACATAAACTCACACATCAAAATGTTTTTCTTCAAGTAAAATTGTTTATAAGAATAATCAAACTAATCCTAGCTCGGTTTCTCAGTGTCTAGAGTGTTGCCCCAAAGACCAAAGGGTCGAGGATTCAATCCCCAGCCCTGGTCAGGGCAATGTCTCTCTCTCTCACGTGGATGTTTCTCTCTCTTTTTCTCTTCCCCTAGCCCTCCCTAGAAAAAGGGTACTTTGAAATATTAAATTTTTCTCTATAAAGAGAATACAAAAAATGACCAAAAATTATACTGTTACAAAATCAACAAAAATATTCACAGACAAATTAAATATAATATTGCAAAGAGTTTTAATAATGTTCTAAAAATGTTTTCTATGATAAAAGGTATTTTAAAACAAAGAATCTGAAAAATAATTAAGAAAAAATAGGTAGCCCTAACCGGTTTGGCTCAGTGGATAGAGCGTCGGCCTGCGGACTGAAGGGTCCCAGGTTCGACTCTGGTCAAGGGCATGTACCTTGGTTGCGGGCACATACCCAGTAGGGAGTGTGCAGGAGGCAGCTGATCGATGTTTCTCTCTCATTGATATTTCTAACTCTCTATCCCTCTCCCTTCGTCTCTGTAAAATATCAATAAAATATATATAAAAAAAGAAAAAATAGGTAAAATATTTGGATCGATGAATTAAGAGAAAATACACATATGGTAAATGCTTTTTATAAAAACCACTAAGTGAAGAATTCATGTACAACCTTAAAATTAAGGCAAAGTTTCTTTATACCAATTACATTTAATAAGGACAAAATCATGGAGTTTAACTATTGAAAATGAAAGCCAAAATTAAATTTAAACTATTTTAAAACATTATGCACAAACGTCACAAATAGAGCCTCAGAGTTTGGGGGGAAGTACTAACCAGATACTGCCAGCAGCTGTGAAACTCTCACCTCCATTTCCTCCCGATGAGACCTGTCTCTATCTTCAAATTCACGTGTTCTTCTCCGAGCCTCTTCAGAGGCGTGTCGTGCTAACGCATCCTCCTGCTATCAGAAGAATACAAGAAATAAATATTTTAATTTATAATAAAAACTCAAAACTGGAGGGTGCTTTACTTGTGGAAGGAAAAAACAGCAGAATATTCCTCAAAACATCAAAACCATAAAAAATTAATGTATAAGCGACTTTAAAAAGAAAACTGAGTATTTTCATGTTTTATACCACACTTTGGAAATAACTAAAAATGCTCTTCCCTTTTCTTTCCCTACCTCATCCTATTCATCAAAATAAAATCATGATCAAGTCAATATTTAAACCATAGATGTACAAGAAAAACGTTGGGTATATACATCTATAATTGGGATAAGACAGGACAAGCCCTCCAATTATAACACTAAAGCTAGAAATACAAAAGAGAATATTAACAGGGTTATACAAATATTAGAAATTTCTAAACAAAAAAAGTAAATAAAATTCCATGGGATATTATTTTTTTTTTTAATATATTTTATTGATTTTTTACAGAGAGGAAGGGAGAGAGATAGAGAGTCAGAAACATCGATGAGAGAGAAACATCGATCAGCTGCCTCCTGCACATCTCCCACCGGGGATGTGCCCGCAACCCAGGCACACGCCCTTGACCGGAATCGAACCTGGGACCCTTCAGTCCGCAGGCCGACGCTCTATCCACTGAGCCAAACCGGCTTCGGCTCCATGGGATATTATTAAAAAAATGTTTGTAACATAGGACAAATCTATCCTAATCCTTTCTCAATTAATGGATAAAGATTTGCACATGAAGGAACTCCACATACCTCAAACTCACCGTGTCTAAAAAGGTAACCAATTTAACCTTCCTCCTTTACCCTTCTTTAGTCTAAGTTAGTGGCACCACTTACTAATTTCTGTCAGAAACCGGAGCCACCTTTGACTCTTCATTCTCCCGTCTCCACAGAGCCAATCAACAACCAAGTCCTATCCATTCGACCGCCTAAATATTTTTGGAATCTTTAGTCTCTTTTTTATTCCTACATTTTCCTAGTTCAGAATCCTAAGATCTCTTACCTAAATTATTGCAAAGGTCTCCTAAACAGTCTCTTCCTGTTTCTAATCTGTCACTCCCTAACCCACCACAAAGCCATCAAAGCCATATTCTACAGCACAATCTGACTACAATACCCTCCAACTTAAAAAATCTCTGACCATTGCTAGAATACACATTAGAGGCTAATCATTTCTTTAGGGAATTAGATCACATGTCGTGCTTCATTTCATTGTGTAATTTTCCTGTACTGTCTACAGCACAGGATGCTCAACCTTTGCAGCTACACACTCCTCAATAATAGGATTTCCAATAGTACAATTGAAGAAACTAAAAGATCAAAAACAATACAAAAAAAGTAATCAATATTCACCTTCCTAGATTCATTGCAACAAGGGTGGCCAGGTAACTTAGTTCTTAACCAATGAGAAAGAAACATAAGTCAACCTAATGGGGCTTCTAAAAAGTCATTTAAGAGACATTTCATCTGGAGAGGGAACCAAGATGGCCATAGGTAAAAACGCCTGTACTCACTGCCCCCCACAACTGCCGGGAAGCTGGCTAAATGGAAGTCCTACAACTAGAGAAGTAAAGAAGAAAGCACACTGAAACTGGTAGGAGGCAGGGAACGGGCTGGTCTGGCACCCATGTGTGCCACATTTTTAATTGGGAAGGAGATCTTTTCTGCGGGAGGTCGCCCAAAGGAGCCAGGGGTCCCAGCCCCCCAGCCCAGGGTCCCAGAGCTGGGAAAAGAAGTCCCCATAACTACAGGCTGTAAAAACCAGCTGTTCTTCTTAAAATGCCAGCACCACGAACTGAACTTGCAAGGTCCTGCTTCATCTGAGCTCCAGCACCAGGGCGAGGCTCTGGGGAACACATTTGTCTGGCATCAGGGCAGGAACTTGGGGGTGGCTTTCTCCGAGACGGAGGTACTCACAGGGATCATTCTTCCTGTGCTGGGATCTCCCCAGTTGCAGGGCTGACTGGCAGCCATTTCTGTTTGCTCCACCCTGGTTCTCTACAACCCAACTTCATCCAATTTACAACTCCACTCAAGCTGCTTGCAGCGGCTTTTGTATTTGAATGGCCTGTCCTTGAAAATCTCAAATAAGCTGCAGTTGGGTCAGGGAGCCCCAAACATATCAATAAAAGGCCCAAGACCTGGCACCAGCACTGGCCTGCCTTGCTTCATACTGGGGCTTATCTGGGCACTTCAAACCCAATACAAAGAGGAGGAATCTGTAGATCTCTCGTAGCTCCTGCTGGGTGGCCCTAAGCAGTGGATGACTTTGTATCTCCCTGGAGACCCAAGAGCCAGTGTACCCAGTGGTCAGTATCAGGCCATACCAGATTACAACTCTACACATCCATGAGCGACACACTCAAGGGGCAGACTCAGTGAGCACCAAAGCCCCCCTGAAGCAAGTCCTGCTCCATAGGGGTGTCTCCTGCATAGCAGCTCTCCCACTGTAGTCACAGCTGGTCCTCAGAGCAAATTGGCCTGAAGGTCAATTCCTCCCAGAGACACCAAAAGCTATCAAGTCTCAACTACAACGAAACTGTGCTAAGCCACCGTAGCCGGTTTGGCTCAGTGGAAAGAGCGTCGGCCTGCAGACTGAAGGGTCCCAGGTTCGATTCCGGTCAAGGGCATGTACCTTGGTTGCGGGCACATCCCTGGTGGGGAGTGTGCAGGAGGCAATTGATGTTTCTCTCTCATCGATGTTTCTAACTCTCTATCCCTCTCCCTTCCTCTCTGTAAAAAATCAATAAAATATATATTTTAAATAAAAAACAAACAAACTGTGCTAAGCCAACAAAGGGGTGCACCTAGAGTTCCCAGCTCAGGTGACTGGGGAGGCTGAGTCACTGGGCCCTATAGGACACCTACTACACAAGGCCACTCTGTCAACTCAAGGAGACATAGCATCTCTATCCAATACATAAAAACAAACACAGGGAAGCAGCCAAAATGTGGAGACAAAGAACCATGTCACAAATGAAAGAAATGGAAGAAAGCAAACTACTGGATATAGTAGTTCAAAACCACGGTTATAAGGTTACTCAAGAATCTTCTAGAAACCTCTAAGGGACTTAGTGATACTTTCAAGAATCTTAGTGAGAATACCAAAAAAAATGGAAAAGGTCCAGTCAGAAATTAAGCATACACTGACTGAAATAAAGAATAACATACAGGATTCAATAGTAGAATAGAGGATTCTGAGAATCAAATCAATGATTTGAAATCTGAGGAAGCAAAAAACACCCAACCAGAAGAGCAAAAAGAAGTAAGAATCCAAAAATATGAAGATAGTGTAAGGAGCCTTTAGAACAAGTTCAAGTGTACTAACATCAGAATTATGGGGATGCCAGAAGAAAAAAAGAGAACAAGATATTGAAAACCTATTTGAAGAAGTAATGACAGAAAACATCCTCTACCTGGTGAAAGAAATAGTCCAGGTAGCACAGAGATTCCCAAACAAGAGAATCCCAAAGAGGACCACACCAAGACACTTCATAATTAAAATGCCAAGGGCTAAAGACAAAGAGAGAATCTTAAAAGCAGCAAGTGAAAAGCACTTAGTAACCTATAAGGGAATGCCTATAAGACTGTCAGCTGATTTCTCAACAGAAACTATGCAGGCCAGAAGGGAGTGGCAAGAAATATTCAAAGTGATGAATAGCAAGGACCTAAAACCAAGATTACTCTGCCCAGCAAAGCTATCATTGAGAATTGAAGGTCAGATAAAGTGCTTCACAGACAAGAAAAAGCTAAAGGAGTTCATCACCACCAAACCAGTATTATATGAAATGTTGAAGGGTATTCTTTAAGAAAAGAAAGAAGAATAAAAAGAAAAAGATAAAAAAATATGAACAAAATGACACCAAATACATACCTATCAACAACTGAATCTAAAAATCAAAATAAAAAAATAAGAAATCTAATGAACATAATAAACTGGTGAATAAAATACAATCAGCGGCATGAAAATGGAACAGACTGTTGATTCTCAGAAGGGGGCGGGGGGGGGGG